TAGGCAAAGCCCCTGCATCAGATAACTTGGATGAAGGAGCTTCAGTAGAAGGTGATGGAGCAGGGCTGCTAAAGGAAGAGCCTTCGAAGGAGAAGTAGAGCTCTTCTGAAAAATTCAGGTAAAAACATTAACCTATGAAGAATTGTTGTTTCATGAATAAACAAGCTCAATTACCTTTCTCCGACGATGAGAAGAGCATCATCATCATTATCATCATAGGGCAAAATTGGTGGAGCTGAAGCTGGCCGTTTGCGGCTAGAAGCACCTTTAGTTGTACTAGCTTGAGCAGGTGGCGAACCAGATGGAAGAGCATAATATTTGTCACGAACAGGTGGCGATTTAGAAGCGGAAACGGGATTCCTTACAGAGACAGGAATGGCAGGAATAGGAGAAGAGGAAGTCTCTGGCCGCTCCAGCAAGTGGAAAGCACGGTTAGCGTCAGTTGTGAATAGCTTTCGTTTCACAGACGGCCAGAGTTGTTCAAAAATGGGATGAGTGGCAAAAGTGGGGCTGAAAGGAACCGAGGAAAAACCTTTGGTCAAAAGATTATTACGGACATCAATGGCTTGTGCCTCTATTTTATTTATGGTATGAAAACGCTCTATCAACCTCTTAGAAAAGCAGGGGGGGAAGAGGCAACATCTGGCCAAAACCAAGCTGACGAGCAAAAAATTGGGAAGCATATATCTCAATCCCAGCCTTAGCATTTGTTCCGGTTAAAATATCATGGAACAGTTCCTTCCCAATCAAGAATTGACCCCAAATGGGTACTCACATCATCCATAGTGGAAGGAGGCTGCACATAGTTTGGAATTAAGGGAACGAGGAAAGGTAGAAATTGAATTCAAGTTGTAAAGGAATGAAAAAAAGTCCCTATTGGACATATTTGCAGGGCTCAATTGGTTAATAGGTAGCCCATAACAACTAACTGCTCGAGGGAAAGAGGGTGGAGTACCAAGCTGGGGAAAGTATGCTCTCTACCACAATTAAGCAAGCCAAATAGGCCCACTACCAGTGGGAGATGCACCATTCTTCAATTAAAGCTGGAGAGAAGTCATGCCTCTATAAAGGACGGCCAAGAATAAAGACCTACCATGCGTTAATTCATGCGCTATAAGTAGATAACTCATGGAAGGTTTCATGCTAGGCA